GCGGCCACCTTCTCATTGTCACTCTCATCATCGGATGAACCACTTGATGAATCAATGTCCGTGAGCCAATCACCGACAATATAGGCCTTGCCACTCTTCTTCTTCTTGTAGAAGTCTCTCTTTTTGCCATCTCTCTTCTTGTATGGCTTGTTCTTTTTCTTTTCATCTTCATCACTTGAATCATCTTTCTTGCCCTTGTTCTTGAACTTGTCTTTCTTGGGCTTTGTGCATTGATGAGCTAGGTGGCCAAGTTCGCCACAATTGTAGCAATCCATCTCGGAGATTGGCTTTCTTCTTGAGCTAGTGAAGAACTTCTTCTTCTTGCCGTCAAACTTGATGCCACTCTTGTTTAGCTTCTTTAGCATCTTGGCGGTCTTTTTCACCATGAGAGCAAGACTTTCTTCATCATCTTCATCACTTGAGCTCTCATACTCAAGTCTTGTCTTGCCCTTATCTTGGCTAGCTTTGAATGCTAAGTCCTTCTCTTTCTTCTTTGTAGAGGTTGAGCCATCTTGTGGCATGATGTGCATGTACATCTCATGAGCATTGATCTTTCCCAAGATTTGTGTCGGTGTAGCGGCGGAAAGATCACCTTGATGTAGCACGGTCATAATGTGCCCACATTTATCAATGGGGAGGACACTCAAGATCTTTCTTACAACGTCGGATGGTGACATTTGAGTAAGTCCAAGCCTATTGACTTCCTCTACAAGAACATTTAAACGAGAATACATTTCATTAGGACTTTCTTTGGGAAGCATCTCAAAAGAATTTAGCTTTTTAATCACAAGATGATAGCGTTCCTCACGCTCACTCTTGGTTCCCTCATGGAGCGCACAAACGTCCGACCATAGAGCATGGGCGTCTTTGTGGTTCCTTACATGATTGAACACATCTTTGCAAAGGCCTCTAAAGATGGTGTTGCGAGCCTTTGCATTCTATTTTTCATAGTTTACTTCATCGCCTTGGAGTTGTGCGGCATTCTTAGGTGTTGGGAACCCTTGAGAGGCGGCTCTAAGAATTCCAACATCTAGAGCTTCTAGGTAAGCCTCCATGCGAATTTTCCAATATGGAAAATCATCCCCCTCGAAGATAGGAGGAGGTCCATCCCCGTGAGACATCTTGCTCTAAGCGGTTAGGCTTAAAAAATGTGAGCACGAGGCTCTGATACCAATTGAAAGGATCAAGATGCCAAAGAGGGGGGGTGAATTGGGCTAATTCTAAATTTTCTTGCAATAATCAAATCCTATGGATAGCCCAATTAACCCCTTGTGCCTAGAAAAGTGTTCATGTCAAACTAATGCACAACAACCTCGCAACCTATGTTCCAAACTTACTCTAGCAAGCAATTCTATGGATGTGAAACAGGTATTGAATTGCTCAAAGTAAATACTCAAAGTAAGTGCTCAAAGTAAATAGAGAGAGAAAGGAACGCGGCGATGTTTTACCGAGGTATCGGAGAGTCGCCACTCCCCACTAGTCCTCGTTGGAGCACCCATGCAAGGGTGTAGCTCCCCCTTGATCCGCGCAAGGATCAAGTGCTCTCTACGGGTTGATTCTTCGACACTCCGTCGCGGCGAATCACCCAAAACCGCTCACAACTTGAGTTGGGTCACCCACAAGCTCCGCCGGGTGATCACCAAGCTCCCAATCACCACCAAGCCATCTAGGTGATGGCGATCACCAAGAGTAACAAGCACGAACTCTCACTTGACCACACGAAGCCTAATGAGAAGATGGATGCACACTTGTCTACTCTTGATTCACTAATGAGGTTTCACTCTTGGATTCTCAAATCACAAACACCTCACTAGGACCTTACTCTTCTTGGCACTCACAAACGTGTTTCTCAGCTGTTGGAATGAGCAAAAGTGACTCCACACACGAGTGGAGCTTCTATTTATAAGGCAGCCTGAAAAACAAACCGTTATGAGCTTCTGCGGGATGACCGGACGCTCCGATCATATTGACCGGACGCTCCGGTCAGTTCAACCCGCGCAACAGTTTCCAAGTGATGACCGGACGCTGACAGGGTCCGGTCAGCACTGACCGGACGCGTCCGATCGATCTTGGATGCTTACTATAAACGACCGGATGCTGGATACTCAGGGTCCGGTCACCACTGACCGGACGCGTCCGGTCACACTTTCTCAAATCTAGACCCTTACTGGAGTCGACCGGACGCTGGCCTTCAGCGTCCGGTCACACGACCTTCCAGCGTCCGGTCACTCCAGACTTGTTCTCCACAGTCAAATGAACTGACCGGACCCTGCGGCTAGCGTCCGGTCGCACCGGAGCCAGCGTCTGGTCAGTATTTGACCCTCCATTCACTTCCAACTCTCGATCATATGTGAATGAAGTTAGCTCCAAAGGATCTTAGGCATTCATAGGAGCTACCTAGGGCTAGTTTTAACAAGTGTGCACCACACCTAACTCACTAGACTCAACTAGCTCAAGCTACCCGTTCATACCCCCCTTCATAGTACGGCCAAAGGAAAAACAAAGTTCTAAACTACTCTAAGTGTCTCTCCAACTTCAATTGACACTTAGAACTAGTTATCCTTAACCTTGTCGTCCATCCTTTGAAAACCGAAACAATTTCCATCGTAGGGGCATGACAACCTCAATTGCCCAATCGATCTCCATTATCATGACCTAACTTAATTGCCTCTGCAAAACATACGTTAGTCATAGTAATCTTGTATTGACATTAATCACCGAAATCCACTTAGGGGCCTAGATGCTTTCAGGGCTGTTGTTGCTCTTCATTGCCAAGAGGTAATTGATTCTACATGCTCCTGTATTAAAAGATCCTTGTTTACATTATTCATCTTGCCAAGAGGCAATTGATTCTATAGGCTCTTGTATAACAAGATCTTTATTTACATTATTCATCTTCTTCGAAGAGCTAACAACAGGTGTTGTATTAGTCATACAACATCAACAGGTATTGAAAAACTTGTTGTTCCTAAGTTACTGGAGTAGGCACGCAGTCCCTCTTCTCTTCAAGTCTTAGGTTTCTACATACCTCTATAAACCATGCTCCCCCAGATCTTTCCATCTTTTCTAAAGATGGTGTATCTTCTAATATCTTATTTTGGGTTTAATCTGTTAAAACCTTATATGGCGCTTTAAGCACCACCTTAACATCTTTGAGGCTGACTACGCTATCTTCTTGTCGGAACTTTAAAAGGTCCAAGAATTTAGCTATTTCTCTACTTAGGGGTATCATTGTTGTGACCGTTGTACTCCTTCATCGGTCGCATTCATCTTAATTAATCTTTATCTCACTCTTAATGAAGAGTATCTTTCTTAATTGATCTTTATCTCACTCTTAATGAAGAGTATTTTTCTTAATTGATCTTAATATTCTCCCCCTTGAAATATGGCATGAACTTTACTGCCATAATTTCGAGAACTATTCAGAAAACCTGTTAACGAGGAGACACTTATAACTTACTTCATTCACATAATTATGTCATGTAAACAAAGTTATTTCTTAATCCGTTTAGGAGTATACTTTCCTTATTTTATTTTAAGAAGTCAACGAGGTCTATCATTAGCTGTATTTTTGCAAGTCACGCTTGCATCTTTCATTATCCTTTGGTTAGTATTAACCATTACGATGCATTTTTATTGTGCCACGATCAATGCTCGGACAGCATAAGAGCTACCCAACCTTCTCTCGCTATGCGAGATACAAAACATGTGAATCATCACAAAACTTCTCCCGCCATGTAGGATTGACTAGCATAAGTACTATGCCAAAACTTCTTCCCATGCGGGATAGATCTATACAAAACTTAGTCATGACGACTAAAACATTCACTTATACTTCATTTTTCAATTAAATCTTCCCGTTGTTCCAATTTAATCAGAAAATTATTAAACTAACAAAAATTGTCCTGAACCGGCTTGACTCAAGCCTTTTCATTCACATACCCCAGCATTGCAGCTCGTTGACATGCAGCCAAGTGATCTTGTTGGTTAAAAATAAAACATACAATATGTTTCTGCATCAATTCTACATCACCGTTGAGGAGAAAATAGAATTGATGCATTAAAACTCATAAATTAACTTGAAATTTCAGTCCCTCGACGGCGGCAGCAGCACCACCAGGGAGCAGTAGCGGATCCGGCCAAAATTCCACTGATGTCATAAGTACTACGTCATGGCTTAAGTTCATATATGAGCATCAATTTACAATAAAAATCTCAGAAAATCATTGCTGTCATCTGACAGCAATGAACAGGGCTGGCTCCGCCCCTGCCAGGGGGCCCAATACCGGGAGCTGGAGAGTCACGGATTCAAAGGGCCTGCGCTGGCGCCGGCGAAGAGGAGGCGCCGCCTCCGCTGCGGCCACAAGGGCGGCGTCGGAAACCCAAGTAGTATCTTCTTTTTTTTAGGGGGGAACCCAAGTAGTATCCACGCAGACGTCTGGTTTCCTAATTAGAGAAGGTAATAAATCAGTTTTCTAGTTACAGGGGGTAAATCGGACTACCCCATACAACAGGTTTTGCAGCTTTGCGAGAGACACTGCCACCAAAACGGCTACAGCATAACAGCAGTATTATCAACTTTAATACAATACAAAGTGGCTCATTCAGAGCTGAGTATTAGGAGAGGCAAAAACACCTGCCATTTGAACATCTTTGACTGAAATCGCATCATCCACAATGAAACACAAGGAGTCAAAAAGCAATGGTATTGTCGCTTGGCTGATAAGCCATGGCTGAAAGGACTGCTGGCTGATTTGTTGTGAGAGAAAAATATTGTTCGTTAGTGAAAAAGTACGGCTTATAAGCCAAGCGAACAGGGCGATAGCACAAACGAATGCCCATTTTCTGGTCTCTGCAAATCTGCGCTGCTTATACAACTTGTGTACCTCTCTCTTCCGAGGAAAAGGGCTCTCATGGCAAAACAAACAAAGTTACATCTTCAGAAATCAGGCCCATCCACTTGGACAACCTGGTGGATGGTGATGGTCAAACAAACCGTATCAAGCAAAGAGCCGCCTTCTCCTCCTGCCTGCCGCCTTCATCTCCAGGCCGTCAGCAGACTCCCCATGCACCACCTCGTCCACCAGCTCCTTGAATATCAACCTTTCGATCTCCAGCACCATCCCCGGGAGCTCCTTGCTGAAGCTCGTCCATCCCTGCAGCCTCTGCAGGATCTCTGCATCAGGTATCACGCTGCCTTCCTTCTGCCAGATGGACGATCGCTCCATGTCCAGGTCTTCGATTCCTGAGGATATGAACTTCAGCAGTTGCTGCCCGCTAGTAGTCTTTGCAGGTGGATCCTTCGCTCTGGTGAAGGAACTGACCGAATAAACTGTGGTTTCCTTCTCAAACTTCTGAAGCAGAAGCTCATTCACAGTGTCAAACATCAGCTTCCGGTGCGCTCTCTTGGGATCAGATTTTGCGCCGCTTCTGCTCTGATGGATGCTATCAGGTATACTGACCCATCCTGCCTTTCTTTGCTCCAACACGTGGAACAAGTCAGGGTTGATCGGGTAGCCAGAAGAGTGGAGCTGGAGACCTGCCTGTCCTGAACCTAGGTCTTTCATCAGAAGACCCGAGGCCAGCAGTATCTCAGACACGTAGCGGTGGTCTGGGCTTTCTGTCTCACACAAGAAAGCAATATGGTCAACCGGAGGTGCATCCTCATCCTTGTTCACGCTAAGCTGCTGGAGCTTCTCAAGCAAGCTCGCAACATTGGCGAGTTTATTGTTCTTGGACTGCATAGCAACCTCTATTGGCTTTGTATCAGAAGGTTTCCAGGGTTCCTCTAATGTTTGGCGCTCATCATCTGCAGGTTTCAGGGAACAATGCTTAAGTCAATGTCTGGGTGACAAAAATTTCAGTAAACAATCATGCACGCTAGTTAATCATTCTAGCACATCTGAGTTTACAAATAACAAGTGGACTTAGCAAAGAGCCCAAACATTCTCCTAGTCATTTTCACTTAAGGGGTCTCTAATGTTGCTGTCGTGTAAATTTCACTCGCTGTTGTCAAATTTGCAAATCTATTATAACCTATGCAATACTTGAGAATTGAATACGCACTGCAGAAAGTGATTTATTTACACATCCGTGATGATTTGATGAAGTCCATTATAGTCCAAGAGTATATATGCACTAGTAGTAAAATTTAGAATGTGTGTCCACCAAGCAAGATGGTGCAGTATCACTGAAAATTTACACTGCCAAGAATTTAAGAGAGAGCCATGTTGATGTAACACAGAGAAAGCCATGTTGATGTAAAGGATATAGGAGAATGCATGGTATATTGTGCTTCAAACACACAGAGAAAGCCATGTTGATGTAAAGGATATAGGAGAATATTGATTTGGTAGGTGCGAACTGCAAAGTAAAGTAGTTTTTCCTTCTGTTACCACTTTCATCCTTTCCATCTAGAGGACTTGTAAAGATTGTAGTAGTTGCTGCTTATGCAACATTACACTAGCCAAGATGGCATGTGCCAGTAAAAGCATGTACCACAAAACCCAATGTGATACTTGCTTACTATGCCAGGAAATGCTGCCACCTACGAATTTTGGCATCACATTGTGCACAATAATTTACAGTGGAATCAGTAAAAGCATTGGGGCTGTACAAAATGGAGTACACATAAAACTCAGTTCAAATGTTGCTTCAACAGTGCAATGGATAACTAGAATGAACAAAAGGTAAATTGAAACATTAAATAAGTGAAACAAAGAATCATATTTGAGCTTCCAGTTGCTAGTGTTAACAAAAAAAAAAATTGGAGAGATTATAAAAAGATTATCGTACCAACAGCAAGTGAATTTGGAGTCCTGCTAGTAGGGAACAAATCCTCCTGATCAAATGAAGAGTCCAACACAGAAACTGGACTGGGCCGTTCCGAAATAGTAGCCGAAGGGTCTACAGATGGCACATCCTTGCTTGCATCATATGAAGTTTTCTAAAGAAAAGACACAAACCATAAAAATGAGATATGTAGCATCGTATGTCGTATGATTTAATCTGACATTCTCGTTTCCTGACCCAACTACAACTAGCCTTGGAGAGAGATTTATAGAAGACCAAAACCAGTTACTATTTCCATTACATATTATTATTTTCTTCAAAGTAGTTAAGTACTTGAAATTAAAAATTTCATCTTAAAATTAGTGAAGCTTTAGAAAGAAGGCGTAATTGCAAGGAAATTCTTTACCACTTTTTGTGGGTTCCTTCCAGATGGACTTCCAATGCCTTGCTCAAAGTTAGAAATATTAACTTCTGTAGATCTGTCATTGCTTATGATATCCAGCTCTGAAGCAACACTTATACTGTCATCTGACCTTGTGGACATATCATTGCCATGCTGATTCAGGCTCCTTGTCCTGTTGTTGAATCCATTGGGCATGCCATTATCACCTTCTTGTGGACGCACAAGTTTCCTTCTGAATTTGCTTCGGGGTGACACTGTTTCTGAATTATTCCTATCTCCAGATTGCCTTTGGCTTTTGTTAGACTCAGCAGAAGGGATAGGTGGTCTAGCCCTCCGCTCTGAATCAAGTTTTCTCTGTAGTAACCTTGGGCTAGCGGAGTTTTTATTCTTTTGCATACTTATGTTACTGTCTCTTGGCAGCTGCTGTCTTCTGGATGAGCTCTCAGTAACCAGCAGTGAACTAGATTTTTGGTTGTTGCTGCTATCGTCATTCCTTCCATACGATCTCCTGTCATAAGAAACAAGGGGTTGAGAAGTAGGCACCTTTTGACTAAATTTCGCATGTTGCTCTTTAGCTGCTCTATCGATCGTTGAAGCTTTCCTTCTATCAGTGCTATTGCTTGTTTGCGAATGTGGGGGATCAGATGAACCCCCTAATGGGAAGACAGAAGAATCCATTTCGCTGAAAAGGTTTGCAGATTTTGAAGGTTTCATGATCACAATAGGCGATTTGAAAGAGCTTTCAGCATTGCTCTCTTCAGGCATCCACATGTTGTTGGTGTTACTGTTCAGTCTCATGTTCACACTGGCTGTCTCTTGGCCATCATGGTTTCCATCATATAACTTTGGCATAGATGCTTCCTCCCGTTTCTTGTTTTCCAATAGTCCTTTTGCTTGCATGGAATCCAAAATCTGTTTAAGCGCTCTAAGGTCCTTGTTTGATTGTTGAAAATCAAGATCCTTGAGCCCCTTCTCTATGTCACTGAAGACTGATGCAGCAGGTTGTTCTCTTGCATGGGCTCCTTTTGATCCCTTTGGCAGTTTTCGAGGAAGTACAATCCTTTCTTGTTGCTTCCATGGTGCAGTTTCAACAGGAAACTTAGAGTTGGGTAGATTTCTTACAGTTGTATCATGATTCCTTTGTTGTCGAAGAGCATGCTCGTTGTGGGATGAGATGCTCAAGGGGTTCAACATGGCCTCTTGCTTGCTCTCTTGAACGGTTTTGCATGCATGTGATGATGCTGTACTTTGATTATGCTCAGGCAACTCTTCCAAACCCATGAGCTTTGCAACAACGCTAGGAAGCCGCTTGCAGGCAGGCTGTTCCTGCTGGGTCTCGAAAGCTGCATTGGACCCAGTAACAGTGTTGCTGCTTCTGTCTGCAGAACTCAAGCTTGGGTTTGATCTAAAGTCAATTTCACGATTCCAAAGGTGACCGTCCTTGATGTCCAGTGACAACCTTGGTACCTCCCTCAGTTTTGATGCTGCTTCCTTCCCATCGTATGAGAACCAAGGAGCATCATATGAAAGTCTTGCATGATGGGCAGATTCAGGGGGACTCCACGAAGCTTCCCTGAGCTTGGCTAGCACTCGAAGTGATTCGTTGACGTCCACGAGACCCTTGCTTTTTCCTTGTGTACTGTCACGGAGAGGCCCATTCAATTGCCTAGGTTGATCTCCACAGTTGGATGGGTGATCTTTTACTTCTTCTTCAGTGCAAACTCTGACTGACAATTCACGGTTATCCTTGTAGATTGAATCCTTCACAAGATTTCTTATACCAAGAGTTGGCAGGCTGGATTGAACTATGGGTATGTTCTTGGACTTGGTAGGTGCATCATCAGGGTAGTCGAGTCTGTTGTCACTGTCAAAAGAACTCTTGAGCTTCGGTGAGCTCTTGAACGGCCTCTCTGGAAATAGCATTCGGTCAGTGGATGATAGGTCTTGTTGTGTTGACCTGTTGCCATCAAGGGACGAGAATGACGAAGAGGGTGATGACGAATATGAGGTTTGAGACAGTTCAGTTGCTGGTGCTCTTTGGCTATCAGCCCATGTTTTACTCGAGTTCCTCTCCTGAATGCAGTTTGCAGTAACTCAAGTCAGGATTTGGGTGTCAGTAGAAAACATGTTAACTACTCTAGTACAGATACAAATTCAGAAACTTACCAGAACAATCTGGGGTGAATATCTTGTGCACTCTCCCCCTTTGCTTGGGCTGCTGGATAGTGCATGGCCTGCTGCAAGAAGTGAAATCAGTGTCAGTGCTGAACCAGGCAAAAGAAGAGCATGACTTTCTTATAACAAAAAGGGGGGAAAAAACAACATTGCAAAAACAGAAGTAAGCCAGGGAAAATCTTGCAATGGTTTTGTCACTTGATGTTGATGATATAGAGGAAAAGAGAAGTGACAGTTCCTTTTGATCGAATGGACTGTGTGTACAACACTTCTCCCTTTCAGTCAGGGACATTTTTCTTATCTAAAGGAAGGTTCCAAAATTGCGAGGACTGGTTTTTGTCGGTGGCTGATTTGGAGATAGTTAATGGGGCTGTGAAAGGACGGTTCTTGGTGTATCATCAGCAAGCACCAACTTTTCGTCCAGAGGCGGGTCATCATCATACAACCAACCAACAAAGGCTGGAAAAAGTGGTATCAGTTACCAACAGCACCTAGCAGCAATTCATTGCCGGTTGAGTGCAATTAACACACAAGTCTGGACTCTGGAGCATGCATCTGCAGGGACTTAAACCTGCGGAGCACTTGGGTACAGGCTGTTTCCCATACTAAAAACACAAATACAACCTGATCTAATCTAATCTGTGTCTTCAAAAAGCTGAGTTCTTTGTTGGACACATCCCAAGTAAAAGATCACAAGGCAAAGAGATGGGGTAGAAATAGACGGCATAGATCACGGCTGGAAGCACGCAAAAGCTAGAATGGCATGCGAAGGCTACACACAGAGGCGCAGGGCACAGCCGCACAGAGGATCTCCAACCTTGCAAGAGAAGAGAAGAGAAAAAGAAAGCAGAGCAAGGAAGCGAACCTGTTGGGGGAGGAAGGAGCCTCTTGTGGGAGGAGGCGAGAGGGTGGCGGCGGTCGAAGGCCTGCAAGATCCCGGTGACGCAGCCCACCTGGCGGTGAAGGTCCGGGCGCCTGTCCTCCGCCAACGCCCCCAGGCCCAGGTACTTGGCCGGCATCCTCCGGTACGGCTTCCCTTCCCTTTCCCCTCTCGTGGAAAGAGGAGGCGGCGCAAGGGAATCCGGAAATGCAGGAGGCTGCCCTCCTTTGCAGCAGGTCAGGAAGAAGGTGTCATCTGTAGCTGTCCCGCCGCATTTCCCGGAGGAGTTTGGGGGACCTCACAGGAGGGAGAGGGAACGCTCTCGGGAGGGAGAGACGGTCGTGCTCGTGCCTCCCTGACGGTGAGCATCAACCAAGGAGGCCAGCCACCGGACCGCTGCTGCCTCTCACTCTCGGTCACCGTCCAGCTCCAGCCCTCCAGGCTAGCAGGATGGCAGGATTTCTGGTGCCCTCCCCTCCTTCCGTGTCTTGTTCCTATGGCGTATGGCCGGGAGGGAAGTGGAGGAGGCAGCCTTGTGACTTACTGACTTGTGTGAGGAAGATTACGGAATAAGTGAGGACAGAGCGGAGGCCGGCATTGCACTGCTGCATATGGAGAAAATTGCTATAACAAAGAACTGGCTTCGCTAAAATAGGAATTCTAACATTTGCTTTTCTAAAATGGGACTCTAAACATTAATAATTTGTTTTTCATGACATTTTGATACTTTTAATCATATTTGGGTTCTTAAATACGTGTATTTTTCTCTAATGACCATATTATCCTTTTGTCTAATCTCATATATCGATCCATCTACCTGTACGGAAACAAACGAGACCGACGTCTTCCTCTCCGTCACGTACGAGACGCGCCGCCGCCCGCTGCTCGCCCGCCAACTGCCGGCCGCCGCCCCTCCTTCCCTCCCCACGCCGCCTTCTCCTCTCCATGGATGGAGAGCCTCCGCCCGACGGAGTCCGTGGAGGACCGTCGGCCATGGACAACGAAGCTGCGCCTGGTGCCCTAGACGAGGCTGCGCCTGGTGCCCTGGTCGCAGCGGCTGCGTGGAGGGCTCGACGTCGCTCCTGGTTGCCATCCCGCGGCGCTCGGAGGCCTCGCCGCCGCTCCTGGTGGCCATCTTGCGGCGCTAGGAGAGCTGGCCGCGGTGCCTGAAGGTCATCCCGTCGAGGTTGGTCTTTGGAGGCTGGCGTGGTGGTGATGGTGGTCAGCCACGGCTCTGGTGGCTGGCCGCCTGTGCGGAAGCGGTGATGGCCTTCCGACTTGCTATGGAGAACACCAACAATGTTGTAGCCCTAGCACGGCAACAAAGAACAAACCAAAGACGGCAAGCCAAAGAAGCCAACCAAGACACAGCAACAAGGCAGCTAGCCCAGCCAGCCAAGTAGGGGCAGCTAGCAAAGCCACGCACGATGTTTAATGACTCAAGGGTAAAATAGTCATTTCAGGAATAAATACATGTATTTAGATAAAAAAAAGAGATTAAAAGGACCAAATGTCATGAAAAACAAGAAACAAATGTTTGAAGTCCCATTTTAAAGAAGCAAACATTAGGATTCCTATTTTAGCGAAACGACTTCTTTGAAGTCCCATTATAGCAATTTTCTCCAGCATATGACCTTGCCTTCCTTTTTCTAATCTATAAAATAATAAAAGATGGGAGCTTTAACCATGCAGATTAAGGTGAGGTGACAAGTCAAATAATGCTCCTGATAGCTGCAGTTACAGAAGGAAGGTACCTCTCAACCTCAAGGTCAAGGATATAGAGAGAGAGAGGAGGTGGTGGACGTGGCCGCGTGGGGGAAGACTTGACAGACAAAATATGGTTGGATTGCACTGCCATGGCCATGGCCTACTCCAGTGCTTGCTGGGACCAGAACCAGACCAGCCAAGCCATTGCAAGCTTCTCTCTCTCGCCTCTCAGCAGCAGCACCCCACCGATTTGGCATCTGGTGGCGAGAACTGTGAAGGCGGCAACCAAGACCTGTGAAGCAAGAATTGGTTGGTCGGGAAGAAAAAATCCTGGGCCTTGTTTAGACCCTCAAAATTTCAAGTTTTTTCACTCTCTTTTCATCACATCAATTTTTAGCCGTTTGCATGGAGCATTAAATATAGGTAAAAAAAATAACTAATTACACAGTTTAGTTGGAAATCACGAGATGAATCTTTTGAGCTTAGTTGGTTTATGATTGGACAATATTTACCAAATAAGACGAAAGTGCTACTATTCATCGGGTTGAAATTTTTTTAATCTAAACATGGCCCTGGTGTTCCTGACCGCCTGGTTGCTGGGCTCAGTACAAGCTAGCTACCGGTGGGATTCGCTGTTTGGATTACTGCTAATAACCCGTACTGTTTTCATTTGAGTGCCTACACTGCACTGCATTACTATCTTCTAATGTTAGTTTAGAGTCAAGGTCTCAAGGAGGCATTGAATACACGGGCCACCAAACGAAACGAGCAGGGAGCTGCCACTAACCAACAGTGCATTCGTGTTGTTCATGCGTGAAGACCCTACGTCCACACCACACTCTACCAAGTCGTGCCGTTGAAGCATTGGAGGATATATGCAGTGAGGACTGCCAGCTGCACAGAGCAACGCCAACCGACACCTACAGTACCATGTCATTTTCACCTCTCCTGACACCTTGTATAACCTTTCCCCCGTCTTGACTGAAGGAGAAACTTGCTGATTTGCTGAATATAATACACAAACTAATGTGACCTTACACACATCAAAAAAGAAAAGAAATGTTCACTGTTGATGCAAGAGTCCCTTTGGTATGTATGGACGGTGCAAAGAAGACGCTGCAGGTGCCAGCACGTTCGTTTTTGCTGAAACGATCTTGCTGAAACGATTGGATTCAGCTTATTCGGCAGACCATAAACGATCATGGATTATTTACTGTTGGTTGTTTTGGTGTGAGAAAAAATACTGTTCCAGCTTATAATCTACGATCGTATACGAGCAAACGAACAGGCTGATATATATAAACCAAAAGTACTGCTGGCTGATTTGGTATGAGAGAAAAATATTATTTTAGCTTATAATCCACGATCATATAAGCCGAAACGAACAGGCCGGTAATGATTGATTTGCCCATGCACTGGACTGGATCCCAGTATCGACCAAACTGAAAGAGGCAGCCTAACTTTCATTTGCCTCACCAGTACTTGCAACAATAATTAGCAGCACTCATTAACAACTAACACTTATTGCTTCGGTTTCTCCAGTTATTGGATGTGTGTATATATATATATATATATATATATATATATATATATATATATATATATATATATATATATATATATATATATATATATATATATATGTTTCGGTCCAGAGTCCATGATGTGTGATCTTTCTAATTTTCTAGAAAAGAAAACATTATTGATGAACATTCAGGATGAAAGAGATACGCCATCTATATTCCACATATATAGGACCAGCCCCTTGACTACTAAACAGGAGCTAATGATGAAAATATAAAATAAATAAATAAGATGTACCATATGGGTTACTACAGGTACTGCTGCTAATTAATATATGCACTAATGCAGAGATTTTTGCAGATTGATGGTGGTAATGAGTAATAAGAAGAACAGTTTTAATCATGCATGCGTCTTCCCCTAGCACCAAACACGTGGTGATCCTGACAGTATCCGCATCACTGCTAGCTTAGGCTAGCTCAGTGTTAGTGTTTTTTTACCATCGACGAGTAAATTTGTATTTATGTGTCTGGCTCGGATGATGTGTTCGGAGGACATAAGGGTTTATACTGGTTCGGGCGGAACGTCCCTACGTCTAGTTTGCGGCTGCTCGTGTTACCGGCACTTGGTTTATAGTAGAGGTTACAAACAGGCGAGAGAGGGAGAGGATCCTAAGTCTCTGGGGGAAGGAGTGAATCGGTGCTGAGAGCTCGATTGCCGCTCAGCTGTGTGCTCGTGTCGTACTCTTGTGTTCCGATTTGTTTTTGTTGTTCGGTCCCCCGGCAGGAGCGCCCTGATTTCTCTTTTATAGGCGAAGAAAAAACGTGGGCTACAGTGGAGGAAGAGGAGAAGAACAAGAGAGAGAAGAAGGCTTACAGGATCGTCGGATCCTTTTTCTCCTTCATACGGGTCCCGCCGATCCTGTAGATGTCAACAGGGACGGCTCCACGTCGTGGCCCTGTTCATCACTGACGCCATGTGCAGTCGTCATCTGTCAGTCAGGGCGTTCCATTCTGCCCCGGCGGACATCATAGTGAACTGACGCGCCTGTCAACGTTCGTACGAGGGTTAGATAGAACAGCACCGGCATGCCCGACACTGTTCTTGATGTGAATCCTCAGGTATGGTCCATCATGGCCACGGGTTACATCGAGGCGTGCCAGTCTCTTCCCTGGTGTCAGAGTTTTGACCCAGGCCCATACGTCTGGACTTAGAGTGGTTGACGGCGGTATGGGTCCCCGTCAAACGAGACGGAAACCACGGTCTTAGGGTCGGGGGAGACGGAGCATGTGGCCTTGGGGTCGGGCGAGACGGAGCCTGCGGCCTTGGGGTCGGGCGAGACGGAGCCCGCGGCCTTGAGGTCGGGCGAGACAGAGCCCGTGGCCTTGGGCGAGACCCCTGTGGCGTCGAGGTTGGGTGAGACGGAGCCCGTGGCCTTAGGGTCAGGTGAGACGGAGCCCGCACCCAAGGAGTCGGGCGAGACGGAGCCCGTGGCCTTGAAGTCGGACGAGACGGAGCCCGCGACCTTAGGGTCGGGCGAGACCTTTTAATACGTCTTGATCCATCCGAGGAAGTCAGCGTGGGCGCTAACCTTCTTGCTTTAGGTATCCCTAATATCGATACCTAACAGTAGCCCCCGAGCCTACGGAGGAGTAGCATACTCCTTTGAAGGATTTTCCGGACGAAAGGACTCTAAGGGCCTTGGCCTTCTTTTTGTAGCCCGCGGCGTGTCCTGGTAAGGCGGCGGTTCTCTTTTGTCGCGATCGGTCTTCTTAGGGGCATGCAACCGTAGGATTCGGGAGGTCGGAAAGATTTTTCTTGATTCCGGTCCCCTAGGATCCGATCGGTCCGCGCGTTGTACTGCGACCGCACTTTCGGTCTCCTTACGAGTCCAACTTTCCTTGAGCCCCC